TATTAAGCTGTAGTTTTCATGTGTGGTTTTTGTCTGCCATTAAGAACAGGGTAATGCTGGCCTCAAAATGAGTAAGGAAGAATTCCCTCCTCCTCTATGTTTTTCAAAGTTTCTTAGAAGGATAAATGTCCATTATTCTTTAAAAGTTTGGTAGGATTCACCAGTGAAGACTTACTTGAGAGACTTTTCTTACTTGAGTGGTTTTTGATTACTGATTTAACCTCTTTATTTATCACAGAACTATTCACATTTTCCATTTTTCCTGAATCAGTTTTGATAGTTTGTATATTTCTAGGAATTTGTCCATTTCATAAACCATAATTTGTTGACATCCAATCATCATAGTATTCTTATTACCCTTCTGATTTCTGTAAGTTCAGTAGTAATATACTCACTTTTATTTCTGGTTTCAGTGATTATTATCCTCTCTCTATTTTTCTTACTCAGTCTACATAAAATTTTTTCAATTTTGTTGATCTTTTTGAAGAACCAATTTTCATTTTGTTCATTCTTTCTATTGTTCTTCTATTCTCTATTTTATGTTTCTTCTGTAAGCTTTATTTTGTTCCTTTTGCTAGCCTTGCATTTAGTTTGCTCTTCTATTTATGTTCTTTAAGGCATGAAGTTAGATTATTGATTTCATACCTTTCTTTTTATTATAGGCAATTGTGACCATAATTTTCTCTCTGAGCCCTGCATGAGTTGCATTCCATAATTTTGATATATTGTGTTTTTATTTTCAGTCATCTCAAGTTATTTTTTAAATTTCTCTTGTGTTTTCTTCTTTGATCCACTGGGTGTTTAAGTATGTGTTGTATAATTTCACATATTTGTGTATTTTCAAATTTTCCTTCTGTTATTGATTTCTAGTTATATTCTTTTGTGGTCAGAAAATACTTTGTGTGATTTAAATCTTTTTACATTTACCGAGTATTGTTTTGTTGTCTAACAAATGGTTTACCTTGGATCCATGTGCAGTTGAGATGAATGTGTGTTCTGCTGTTGTATAGTGGAGTGTTCTGTATGTATCTGTTATGTTTGGTTGGTTTATAGTGTTGTTCAACTCTTCTATTTCTTCTTTGATAATTTCTGTAGTTCTATCCATTATTTTAAGTGGGATATACAAGATTACATCTATTGTTGTAGAATCGATTTCTCCCTTAAATTCTGTCAATTTTTGCTTCATATATTTTGGGGGTTTGTTGTTACCCGTGTATATGTTTTAATTGTTATATATTCTGGATTACCTGACCCTTTTATCAATATATAATGTCCTTCTTTGTATCTTGTAATTAAAACAAAATCCAGTATTAGTATGGCTAACCAGCTCTCTTTTGGTTATCCTTCTCAGGCTTTTTTTTCCTGCTGTTGTATATTGTAGTTGTTTGCTTGGTGAATTTTCTAATTTTTCTATTTTTGTAAAGAGTGTATTCTTTGTTGCGTGTGGTCACTGAAGTCTCTGGTCCATTAGCCTAGTGGCCAGCTAGTGATTTGACAGAGATTTCCTTAAAAGCTTGGAGTCAATTTAAAAAAGAGGAAAGCAGAAGAAGAAGAAAACGAAAGGAAAGAAGGGAAGGAACAAAACAGAAACAAACAAACAAATCTCCCCTGGTCTTTGTACATTCGCTCTGTTGTGGGGCGCTTTCAATGCTTAGATAGGCCATTAAAAATTCAGCCTTAGGTTTTACTTCCTGCTTATATTGAGTCTTAAGATCAATCAGAGGTCAAAGCTTGGGCCTTCTCAGGTCTTTTGTGAGTATGCATTTAGTCTTGGGTAGGCATGTGTCTTTCCAGAGTCCCCAATATAAACAAAAGCATTTCAAACCCTTTATTCTTCCATGTATCTCCTTCCCTAGCTTCTTCCTTGCAAGACTTCAGATTATCTGCTTCCTGCCTTGTCTGTTATTCTTTTCCCCAGATGGTGGCTTGTGTGTGCCTTTACATGCTTTTGACAAATGCTATCAGGGAGCTACTCCAACCTTGAGGAAGTTCTGAGGGATGCAAAACAAAGGCAAACCCTGAACAATCCCTCAGGGAGCTGCTGGACTGGCCACAATACATAACAACATTTCTCTGAAAACAAGGTTCATGTTACTCATCTAGCATTAGCAAGCCATACCAGGTATATGGGCTGTCATCCCCATGGACACCTTTGAGATGGTGAGTGGCAGATGATAGACAGGTAAATTAAAATGCCTCAACACTCTCTTACCAAAAATTATCAACTACTTTCTTCCTTAAGGACTCCCTAGATTGTTGTATTTTTTAAATTGTGGTTTAAGAAAACCCCATATAATATAAAAGTTATCATCATAAATTTTATGTTACAGTTCAGCAGTGTTAAGTATATTCACATCGTTGTGAAACAGATCTCCAGAACTTTATATCTTGCCAAACTGAAACTCTGTGTCTATTAAACAATAATTTCCCTTTTCCTCCCTTCCTAGCTACTGGTAACTCCCATTCTACTTCTGTTTCTATGAACTTGACTATTTTAAATACCTAATGGAAGTGGAATCATACAGTATTTATCTTTTGTGATCAGCTTATTTCACTTAGCATAGTATCTTCAAGGTTTGTTGTGGTAACCTGTGATAGGATTTCCTTCAGTTTTAAGGCTGAATAATAGTCCATTGTATGTATATACCATACTTTGTTTATCCATTCATCTGGCAGTGGACATTTGGGTTGCTGTTGCTCCTTTTTTGATTATATTCCAGAGTTTCAAAAAAGTTGATTCTGACAGTTTTTGAAAGCTTATTTGTTGGTTCAGTAGATTGAAAGATTCCTGGACTTCTCTACAATTTCAGCAATGCCACTGAATAAATATTTTTTAAAAATTCTGTATCACACATTGAAATCAACATTGAAAATGCATATCACATATTACAATTTTTGTTTGCAATGATTTTGTCTGAACATCTGTCCTCCTCTTAAAACTAACTAATGAAGTAAAAGTTCACCCACATTGAATAGGAAACGCGATGTATTTTTTTTATTATATTTTTATTAAATTTTTATTAAAGGAGCGTCTGTAAAATCAGGGAGATATTAATAAAGTGGTTTCATTCTTCCCATAAATTCAGCTACAGTAGTCACTACTGTTAAGAAATATATAAATGATATTACATGTGAGTTGTAGTGACCTACCTTAAGAGTTACAAATGCAGTCAAGTCTAGGTTGAGCTTTTAGTGTTTACTTTCACATCAAGTTTTTAAAATAGTTTTTCTAACATTTACTTAAAAAAAAGTCATTTCAAGTCAAGATAAACAGTTAATTGGCTTCAGATTTTAACTTTTAATTTGTGTATGCAAGCATACTTCATTTTATTGTACTTCACTTTATTGTGTTTCATAGATATTGTGGTTTTTTTCAATTGAAGTATAATTGATTTACAATATTGTTAGTCTCAGGGGAACAGCATAGTGATTCAGTTTTTTGCAGATTATATTCCATTGTAGATTATTACAAGGTATTGGTATAATTCCCTATGCTATACAGTAATTCTTGTTGCTTATCTATTTTATGTATAGTAGTTTGTATCTGTTAATCTCATACTCCTAATTTATCTCTTCCTTCTTTTATAACCATGAGTTTGTTTTCTATGTCGGAGTCTGTTTTTGTTTTGTATATACATTCATTTGTGTTATTTATTATATTCCACAAATAAGTGATATCATAATATTTGTCTTTCTCTGTCTGGCTTATTTCACTAAGCATAATATTCCATTTGCAGCAATATGGATGGACCTAGGGAATATTATGCTTAGTGAAATAAGTCAGAGAGAGAAAAACAAATACTATATGATAGTGCTTTTTTTTTTTTTTTTTTTTTTTTTACAAATTGAAGGTTGTGGCAACCCTGTGTCCAGCAGGTCTATTGGCACCATTTTTCCAGCAGCATTTGCTCACTCTGTGTCTCTCTGTCACATTTTGGTAATTCTCGCAGTATTTCAAAATTTTTCATTTTTATTATATTATTTTGGTGATCTGTGATCATTGATCATTGATGTTACTATTGTAGGTGTTTTAGGACTCCACGAACCGTGCTCATGTAAGATGGCAATCTTAATACATCTGTGTATTCTCACTGTTCCACCAATTGGCTGTTGCCCCATCTCACTCCGTTTCCTGGTGCCTCCCCATTCCCTGAGATACAATATTGAAACTAGGCTAATCAATAATTCTACAATGGCCTCTAAGTGCTCAAGTGAAAGGAAAAGTAGCAAGCCTCTCACTTTAAATCAAAAGCTAGAAATGATTAAACTTAGTGAGGATGTATTTGTTGAAAGAAGAGATAGGCTGAAAGCTAGGCCTTTTGTGCCAAACATTAGCCAAGTTGTGAAATCAAAGGAAACATTCTTGAAGGAAATGACAATATACATGATATCCAGGAGGAATCAGGTGCCCTTCCTTTACCCCAAACTATACACCCAGGAACTCACAAATATGAAGAAGGCTTGAGAGCTCTGGTTTTCAAATACAGGTAGTTAGTCTATGAGGTTAAGAAAGATTTCTCATTATTGTGATGAAGAAGTGCACCCTAGTCATTTTAGAAATTAGATTGTCATCTGGCTCACCTAAATCCTCAGAGCAGAGCTTTAAATCACACATTACTTGGTCTCTTGATTCACAATTATATGAATAAATGAATGAATGAATGAATGAGGTAGTAAAGAAAGTATTAGAACCAAGAGATAGAGATGGCTCCACTGAGAAAACTGAAGGTGAGTAATATACTAGAATCAAAGGGACACAATATTATAGACTAAATACAGTGTGTCTTCCCAGGGTATAAGGTCCACATATAGTGTGCTGATGGTGTGTTGTCAAATGGTCCTTAGGCGCATGAGGATCGTGAGGAAACTATGTGGATGGGTAAAGGCTGTATGCTCGAAGAGTCTTGGTCTTAGGCAGGAGGCAGGGTCTGGAGAAAGTTCTGTGGAATCTGAAGCTTAGACATTTTGGAAGGCTTTCTTTTAAAATGACACGAAATCAATCATGAAAGTGAACGTTTATTTAGAATGATAAGATAATGTATAACAAGCATTAAAATGATGACAACTACAATAAGCCAAAATTCCAAACAAACCATACATGTGTATGTGTATTATCTATATTAACACAGAAACACCACTTATGTAGCTGCACAATCTGAAGTCTGATGAAGTGAACATCCAAGGCGAAAGATAGAGCAGTTTTATTGAAAATCAAAACATAGAACTTTTGTAAATTTTACATAAACACGTGGCCACGTGAACACATAACAAAAGCCCAAGAGTGACAGCTGTCTCACTCTAGGAGTAAAAATGCAGACAGGTTCACGTTAAGCCTTTAACGTTTATTTTTACATCAAGTTTTTAGAATAAAATAGCTCTCTTTATATTTATTCTCACCAAAGTCTTATTTCAAGTTAGAATAAGCAGTTAACTGGCTTCAAACTTTAACTTGCAGTTGTGTATTTTTAAACGTATCAGGATAATTATCATATTTGGCCAAATAGAGACTTTTTCTGTGACCCATCTCCAAATTCACAGATTCTGGTCCATCTACTCTTTCTAGTAGTCTGGAATGATTTACCAGTTGGAATATATATTATTGGAAGCAATTGGAACTACCATATGAATAAGCCACATGATAAAAATTGCCTGGTTTGAAACAAGTGACCATGTAATTGGAGATACAAGACTCAGAACAAAGTGCTTGCATTTTCCACAGTTTATATCAAACTGGATGGGCTCTTAAGTGGTCAGCCTGGACTTATACATTGAGAGTAGCCAGACCACGAATACAACGATTCTAGCTGCCTTCCACATGTGGTCAGAAGGCTATATTAAGATACCGCCACTGTTAGTTATGAAGACAGCCAAAAGCCTGTCTGTTTTAAGGAACCATTTAGCTATTGAATAATAGACACTCCCACAAATGGAATTTCAGGGAGGTGTAGAACGAACAATCCTGTTCAAGGCTGCCAAAATTATTTTCTGCATGCTGAGATGTTACTCACACACACATAGACTGCATGCAGGTCGTTCAGTTACTTTATTTTTGAATTCCGGATTGTTTTCTTGCAAAAAGTAATTGCAGCTAGTTATAATATATAGCAAAGCGTCTCTATCTTTGGTTCTATATGTCAGAGATATCTTTTCCAAAAATAAATAAGCATGGCAGGAAAAATAATTCGGCTATCTTAAGAGAAAACCCAATATTTTATAAAAATTAAGCAAAAATATATAATTGACACTTTTTAACTTTTTCTAATTATCTTGCTTAGTATCTAAAACCAGTGCAATTTTAATATTAAAATGATTGTGCACACTGTATTTAACTATACAGCATAGACACAAAAATGTCAAAAAACAAAATAGTACTTTCCCTTATGAATCATTTAGGAATTATGCATTCTAAAAATGTATGGGAAAGTAGAACTGCTGAAATATGTTAATAAATTGAAGAAGTGTAAGAAAAGGAAATGAAGATGTAGCAATACTCAAAGATTCTAGAGATTGCAAAAAAAAAAAGTGAACACATCACTCGAAGTCTCCCATTTCTGGAAAATATTTTTATGTTAGAATCATTCGGAGATTTTTCTTTTTAAACTAGTATCTGTGGAAGCTTCCTGTTACGGCTGGAGTCTGAGAAGGTTTAATGAGCTTCATTTGTTAATGGTTTCCGTCTCTTTTCAAATAGGATTTTTGAATCAAATAATTCTCGTTCCCTGTATCCTAGAGACGGCCCTTTTAGATACTTCGCTTCCGCTGTCTTGTAATCTAATCCATCAACAGCAGAAATTGAACAAATGATTGCTTCTGGCAGAAGAACTTCCAGGATAAATTTAATTTTATCATCTCTTATCAGAGTTAGCATTTTTTCATCTATTTGTTTGTAGATTTCTTGTAAATATTTCACCACCTCATCCAATTGATCTTCATCCTCAAAGTATGTTTCAATACAGGGTGCAAACCTATTTGCATTCAAAAATGATTTCAGCCACCTGGACCCTTTCGTGCCTTTTAAAATGGCTAAAAGATGGCTCTCTGTTCCCTTTGCATTCACAATGAAGTCCACTAGGTTCTTGTTGGCTCGGTCCCGAGCAGACTTCATTCGGTCTGGAAGAATTTTCTGGAAGGACATTTTCTTGGTCTGGGAAGTCACAACCATTGGTTCCATGGGATTTTCATTATGCAGCTTTGGAAATAAGTTCCTGAAGGTATCCTGTTTGATTACTTTCCGAAGTGGATAACTAATGTCAGCAGCATAATACTCAAGGAAAGAGCCCGTGAAAGAACCACAACCTATTCTAACTCTGTAGTCACAGATCAGTGAGATGCACCAGTCAATACTTTCGCTGTAATCCTCCCTGGCTTTTTCCACTAGTGCTTGTTTCTCTTTACAATCAAATTTCTTTAACCTTCTAAAGGACACTCTAATGCCTCTCTTTTCAGGACTCATATTTGCCTCAACAAAAAACACACTTGCTTTTCTCTCTTTTCGCCTGATGCTTTTTACCACCGCTGGCCAAAATGGGTATTTTTGATATTTAAACCAGACAATCATTCCTGTTTCAAATGAACGTGGCTCATAATGAATAAGGAAGCGTGGAAGTTCTTCATCTTCCTCATTGTCATCTAATATGGAAGCATCAATAGAACTTAGATTCACTGACTTGTCAGAAGCTTGAAATTCTTCCCCAAGTTCCTCAAAATCCAGGCTCTGAAGATTTCTTTCATTATTCACAAGAAGGAATGAATAATCTGTGACACGGTTAGAGGCACCAAGTGAAACCTGACATTCCCATGAAGAAGGCCTAGGGGATGCCACAGCATCTGTCTCTGATTCCACAGTAGGTTGATTCTGGCTGGTATCTGAGCATGGATTTGAGGGACCCTCTCCAGGATCTTCAATATTCTCTGAGAAGGTAGAGCATTCAGAGGAAATAGCTGGGGCCTCGGGGCAGATGTCCTGGGCCTCCTCTTTCAAAGCTTTGGGCACAGTAAAGATATCCGACGGCAAAGTTGGAGAGAACTTTTCCTCCTTAACACATACATCCTCCTCTTTGATTGTGGAAGGCAAAGTCATAATTGTGGAGATGTCGATCTTTTTCTTGCTCTCCTTTTCATCCTCATCTTCTGAAAGTGAAGGGAAATTCTGGCACCAGCTGAAGTCTTGTGATGACTTTGTTTCCATTTCACTAGGCATAGCGTCAATGAGTGCACGTACCTGTGATTTGTCATCATACGGGGAATCATCACTCTCTGAAGACACTAACAAGGATGCTGGCTTTTCATTTTTCTCAAAACACTTCGGAAAATCTTCTTCGTGCTTCTGATACTTCTTACGAGGAGGTGAATCGGAAAGCTTTTGTGGCACATTCTGAGACAGCGTAGTGGTCTCTTCTTCATCTGAACTGCTTGCTTGAGTCAAATTTGTTCTCTCACTCAGAATATCCAGTGCCACTTTTAGTGACTTTGCATAGGCTGTTTCCTCGCTAGGTGGGCCACTGACCTCTGACTGTGCTGCCAGTGAGGAGGCAATAGCTTCAACTTCAGACTTACTTAGGATCTTTGTCTCTGTGCTTTCCACGTTAATTTTTTCATCTAGTGAGAGTATTTGAACTTCCAGAAAAAATGTCTTTTTCCTCTTACCATTTGACGAAGTCTCAGATCTGGACAAAACTTTTGCTGGCCACAACTGGTCTTGCCAATTGCATAAGACATACTCGGCATCCATTATGATTTAGATTTGTGTGCCAAGAGGTTATTATTAGAGATTAAGGTGTCTGGCTATTCCTGTCACTACTAAGGCAGTTCCTACCAAAAACAGTACTTATACCAATGCCTCTTTTAGAACTACAAAGAGCCACAAAAGTTTTATAACTTGTGTGGCCTGTTCTCCTCCAGGTGAATATCCCAAGGATGCTTGAACACGTTGTTTGAATGGGACAATATGGAAGATACTAAAATAGGGAAAAGGAAAAGGAGAAAAGTATAAGCAAATAAAATTATTTTGCCAAAGGAGATGAGCAACTGCAAATAGAGAACAGACAGAAGGAAGGACAATGCTCAGTGGGGCATCAGATGGAGGAGAAAAATGCAGCATAATATAAGGTGGGAGTTAAGAATTGGAGAAGTGTTTTTATAATACCTCAAGCTCAAGAACTTGCCCTAATTATTGCAAGGAGTGACTATATGTGCATGACGGCAAAGGTGGGAGAGACTATGGTGGTGTGTCAGGAACTCTATTTAATGTTATTAGATACTTTGGGACTTTTGTGCCCCTAATGTTATCCCTAGGGCAGTGGGACTCTAAACTTAGCGTACATCAGAATCATCTGGAGGAACTGTTAAAACTACATTTCTAGGCCCTATCCTGAGAATTTTATTCAGAAGGTCTGGATAGGATCCAACACTTTGTATTTTATAATAAGTGATCAAGTGATGGTAAGGCTACCTGTCCAAGAACTCTTTGGAAGCACTGTTCTAGCTGAACACACAGCTTTATAATTCTTCAGCTGTAAATGCTTCCCGGTCCACCCAAAGCAGGTGGACAAAGATAATAGGGTCTGTATCTCCTGACCCCAGACCACAACACAATGACCTTGTTAATAGCATGAGCTTAGAAGGCAGAGATTCAGAATGGCTGCTAGGTTCACATATTGGACTGGATAATTATCACGGATTTCTTAAGAGTCAGGTAACTGGCTAGGACCTCAGGTAGAAATGTGAATAGTCTCTCCCATGATTTCTTCATAGTGGTTTAACACATGAAATTCTTTTCCCAAAGCAGAAGTTACTACTTCTAATTATAAAACATTATGGCTACAGAACAGGGAGCAAAATGAATTGTATCTCAAATTCTCAACCTAAAATGATTTTAAAATGAAATGTGGTTTTTAAATTTAAAAATGCAGAGAAAGAAGCAAAATAAATTATATCCCAAGTTCTCAATATGTTTTTAATTTGAAATATTTTGTGAAATGGGAAGAGCCTTACCTGATGTAGAGTCTAGCCCTGTGATCCGGTTGTCTTGATTCTCACTCCAGAAGGAGACAGGCTGCCTAAAAGGAGACAGGGAATCAAATGAATTTCATGGACAAGGCATACAGAAATTTTTCTACTAAAACTTTAGAAGGAATGTCATTCTGAAACACAGGAATGAAATGAAAACTCATCTGTGATGTAGATAAGATGTTTATTGTCCTCCTTATTCTTATTATTTTAAATGATCTCTGTGTAATACAGTTATGCTATTTGGTCCATGCTTAAATCATCTTTCTCAGGAAAAGTGTGCAATAAGGTCAAGAGAGCAGGGAAGTAACAACTGCCTTGTGTCTACTATGAGCCAGACTATAGATTCTGTTTGAATCTTCAAATCAATCGCCATGTGAATTTTCCCTCCTTTACACATCTACTTTTTCAACAGAAATTTAATCACACTCTACATGCTGTCTCACAGTCCGCTAATACAAAATACGTTTCACTGCTTTCTTGGTCTACTTCATAAAAATGGTTGCCTGGAGAAAGTTTAGGAAAGCGCCATCTTGTGACTAGAACCAGAACTGCAGCCTCCTCAAGCTATTTGCAAAGCCTCAATCACTAATATATTTTTCTTATGAGAGAAGGGTGGGGACTACATTTAGCCAGTCAGGAGCCTTCCCAGGCTTCTAGAACTTTCTAAGTTCAAGGGTTTTGTGTAGAATGATAAGAGGATCTTAATGTCTTCAACTACAATGTTTCTGGTTATAAAATATCCAGAGCTTATTAAAAATTGAAAAGATGCAGAAAGATACATGGTAAACTAAGTACAACTATATACAAATAATCACTATGAATATTTTCTATCTTTCCAAAATCTTTTTACATGTATAGACAAATGAATATCATTTCAAAACAACATCAGATCTCAATTAAGAGCATAGTTTGAACATCATCCTACATAAGTATTTTCCACATGATTTATGAATTACTTTAAATGAGGTTTTCCTCACATTTGAAACAAAATATCGCAATATTTTCCCTGATGATGTAAGATAAGTAAATTAATAAGTATATATTCATAGTTCAAAAAATAGACAGCAGTAAAGCTAGTCCTGTTTCTCCAACTACACAAATAATCTTGTTAAAAGTGTGGCAGATATGTTTTCCCAGATTTGGCTGCATTAATTATAGTAGCATATATATGTCCTGCTAACACATATATTTATTTTTAAGTGAGATTATATGACCAATGCTATGCTGCAATTTACTTTTTTTCACTTTACTTCGCAGACATTCCAAATCACTACATGTAGGGGTTCATGTGTTTATTTTCCAGATACATAGTATTGCACTGTATGGATGCACTATGCTATACAATATTGTTAAAGCTGCTAATAGAAATAAACCAGATCCTCTCTCTGTCTCATTCTTAAACTTAAAAGATAGAGAAAAATGGTTATACAGCCATACCTGTGGTCTTACAGGACGAGTTGGAAGGAGGACAAACATAGGGCCGTAGCCATAGGACAGCAACGAGGCTATGCTGTTGATCAGGTCCAGGAAAATTTCCACTATCGGCAAAAGACTGGGAGCAGGGGTATGTCTGCATGTGTGTGTGTGTCTATGAATGCTTATGTGTTTGAAACAAATTGGGTATATTGTTTTAGCTTTGTTTTCTTTTACGATTATAAAATTAATCATGGGGAAATCTCCTCTAAAGATACTGACACAGGCTAAGAAATAATATTAAAATAGTTACTTGACCATCCAGAAATGCTGACTAACATGGGAGTTTATTTTTTCCCATATTTTTTCTAATTAAACACATATACATGCATATATATGTGCAAGTGTCTTCACTCAAATACATATATGTTCCCCTTTCCATGCTCATGTACAGGTGACACAGACACAGTCTTTCTATATGTAAATCAATGTATAGAAGTATTTCCCCCCATGCTGTCATATATTTTTATCCATCATTTTCTGTGCAAATTAATAAATGCTTAAAAATTCAAACAGTAATAGAATATCTAGCAATATAAACATGGAATGCCAAGTCAATAAATTAGTATGAACAGCCATGCTTCACTGAAGTCTTAATATAGAGGCTGTAATCTGATCACCCCTTCTCCCACTGTGGACTTTTAAAGCATTGGGAGTTACAAAAATTCCAAAGGATTAATTCTTTCAAAATGCCAGCAGTTCTCTCAAAACTACACACTCTTCGCAGCCCTCTAAGACCACTGTCCCTACTTTTCACATCTTTACTCTAGGGTCCTGAGAAATCCCTATAAAATAACTAGATTTAAGACAGCCATTACCTTGAAGCTTCTTGTCAGCTGCAGCCTGGTGAAATGCAGCTCCTCCCCCAAGACTGGCCTGGCACAGCTCACTCCCAAGCTTCTCAGAGGATGCTCCGCCCCCTCCCTGTGATGGAGAAGACAAACGGCCCTTCCCTGAATTAGAGGAGGAAGAACTGCTAAGTTAAGCTGCTGAAGTGTTAAAGGGTAAAAATGTTCCTTTTAAAAGAACTTTAAAGTGAACTGGCAACAAGTGTCTGTTTAGTTTCCCTTAGGGTGATGCGTTATTGAAAAAAGAGGTAGCAAATCACTTTATTTTTTAAAAATCTAAACTATTTTATATTTTTTCCTTGCCTTCTCTGCACCTTAACTCGGCAGGTAAATTTAAAACCCAGCTGGTCATGCTTCATGAAAATAGTTCACTAAGGATCTTGATTGGGACTGCACTACAACTGTACATTATTTTAGGGAGAATGACTTCTCTATAATTTTTTTCCTGTTTCCAGGACACAGTATGTCTCTGGTATGTCTTGCCTTTTATTCAGTTCCTCTGTTAAATGCTTCAGAAAGTTCCAGAGACTTCTTTATCAACATGGATATTTCTGACCAGAGGCTTAAAATAAGTGGTTCGGCAAGAAAGTACCCATTTCTTATGCCCTCATCAATAACCGGCAATTCTTTCTTATATTTTATTGGTATTTTTCACTCACACAATTCAATGTGGGAAAAATTAATTTTAAAAAATACACATATTTGTATGTCTGAAATATATTTTGCCCATTTTCTTCATTAAAATTCTTTTGCGTTAAATTAAAATTCAGATTTCTGATTTAACTTAGCCAGTTTTAAACATCGCTAGTGATAGTTTTGGGAATGAAGATATTTAGGAATGAAATGTTTTATTTGGCCACTATATTATATAATATGTAAGATATATATAAAGTATATTTATATATAAATATTTAAACATAAATTCTATTTTATATATAAATTTATTTATAAAATAAAAAAAATGTTGTTTTTTATTATAGCAGAAAAAGGAAACTGATAACATTGGCCAAAGAGAATGACTATCTGCTCCTGATTAATTCAGAACCTGATTCAACATCTAGAAATACACATACTCAACAAATGTTCGTTGAACTGACAGCATCCAATGTGTAATTCAGTTTAAAATCCAAAACGTGAGATGCAAAGAGACATGAAGATACTATGGGTTGTGAAGACCTCAGTGCTAGGGTCCTCGCAAACCTAGGATGGTGTTGGGCATCCCTCCACCAAAGCAGCCAAAGCCTTAGTTTTCAGTGGCTGGTGAGTATCTCCAGTAACTTCTACTTTATTCTTTTTTGGGGGGGAAGATTAGAAAACACCTTTATTAGTCTTGATTAGGTACTATGGAAACAATTTTATATTAGCACTCAAAATACATATTCTTTTTTTGTTACAGGTGTACAATATGATTCACAACTTTTAAAGGTTATACTCCATTTATAGTTATTATAAAATATTGGCTCTATTTCCCATGTTATACAGTATATCCTTGTAGCTTATTTTGTAACTGGTAGTTTGTACCTCTTAATCCCCTATCCCTTTTTGCTCCTCCCCCTTCCTTCTCCCCACTGGTAACCACTAATTTGTTCTCTATATCCATGTGTCTCCTTTTTGTTACATTCACTAGTTTGTTGTATTTTTTAGATTCCACATATAACTGATATCATACAGTATTTGTCTTTCTCTGACTTTTTTAACTAGGCATAATGCCCTCCAACTTCATCCATGTTGCTGCAAATGGCGACATTTCATTAATTTCATTCTTTTTTATAACTGACTACTATTCCATTGCATACACACACACATTTTTTTAAATGAAACATAGTCAGTTTACAATTTTGTGTCAATTTCTGATGTATAGCATAATAGTTCAGTCATACATATACATATATTTGTTTTCATGTTTTTTCATTATGTTACTACAAGATATTGAATATAGTTTCCTGTGCTATACAGTATAAACTTACTGTTTATCTATTTTATATACTTAGCATCTGCAAATCTTAAACTCTCAATTTGTCCTTTCCCACCCCCCTCCCCCTCCCCCTTGGTAACTGTAGTTTGTTTTCTATATCTGTGAGTCTCCTTCTGTTTTGTAAATAAGTTCATTTGTCTTTTTTTAGATTCCACATGTAAGTGGTATCATATGATATTTTTTGTTCTCTTTCTGGGTTACTTTACTTAGAATGACAATCTCCAGGTCCATCCATGTTGCTGCAAATGGCATTATTTCATTCTTTTTTGTGGCTGAGTAGTATTCCATTGTACAAATATACCACAATTTCTTTATCCAGTCATCTGTTGATGGACACTTAGGTTGTTTCCATGTCTTAGTGACTATAAATAGTGCAGCTATGAACACTGGGGTGCATATATCTTTTTGAATTAAAATTCCCTCTGGATATATGCCCAGGAGTGGGATTGCTCGATCATATGCTAAGTCCAGTTTTAGTTTTTTAAGAAACCTCCATACTGTCCCCCATAGTGGTTGCACCAATTTACATTCCCACCAACAGTGTACAAGGGTTCCCTTTTCTCCACATCTTCACCAACATTTGTTATTTGTGCTCTTTTTGATGATAGCCATTCTCACAGGTGTGAGGTGATAGCTCATTGTGATAATTTTGGGAATGAAGATATTTGGAACTGAAGTGTTTTATTTGGCCTTTGTATTATATAATTGGCAATACATAAAATATATAGATTTATATATATTTTATTTTTAAATATTTTAATTTGTACATAAATTTATTTATATATAAAATAAACCATATATACACATTTTAAACTCCACCTTTATGTAAGCACTAATATTGGAAGAATACATACTACTAAATTTATGAATGCAATCTCTAAGCTAGTACATTATTGAGGGCTCTAACAATTAAAGTATGTAATGTTTTCTGCTAAAAACAACCCCTAAATCTCAGGGGCTCAGCCCCAAAAGAGTTTATAATGCTGATGTCAAAATTCAATGGAGGTCATCAAGTGGCCAGAAAGAGAGAGGATTCTAAGCAGTCATTAAGAGATTCAAACGTCTTCCATCCTACAGCTCTACCATCTTCTTTGGCCTGAAAGTCCTCCAAAGTCTTTGCAACTGACTAGCAATTTAATGAAAAAGGTCACTGGAGAATCCTGTGGAAAGTTTTAGGAGCCAGGTCTGGCAAGCTTCACTGCTGGTCACAGTTAACTCACTAAACTGAGGCTGGGGGGCTGGGGAAGGTAGTCTTCCCGTGACCCAGGAGAAAAATGAAACAGAATCTGGGGAACACAGCATTCTCTCTGCCACAGAAGTTTTCCCTTTTGATCTTTTATAGACGTCTGTTATTTACCTAATGCTTTTTTTTTTACAGCCATGTATCATATTTATAATGACTGGGGCAGAAATTTCTACTTGCTCACCCTAGTTGTATTCAGGGTGGCAGTGTAAACTCTTAAAATATTTCTTTCCCCAGACTCCCCTGCTATGAGCCATGGCCATGTGACGGAGGTTTTGCCAAAGAATGCAATCAGAAATAGTTGTGAAGATTCCAGAAAAGGTGCCTCCAGAGGGGATAAGCAGCCCTCTTGGGCTTTTTTCCCCCATTTTCCCTCTTGCTCTCCCTAATCCAACCCCCAAGAATCTGACCATGACAGAATTCGTACAGCCATTCTGGACCAAGAAGTGACTTAGAAAAAGGATGCAACTCACTAGGGATAAAAGATCCTGAATCCCTGAATAAGGGAAAACCTCATTCCAATTACTTCAACTTAGTGGAATAACAAACTTCTAGATTACCTAAGTCACTGTGTTTCCCACTCTCTTTCTAGCAGTAGAAAAAAACAGCTGATCTTAAAATCACCAACAAAAATAATATCATTCTTATTACACAATTAATCTTGTCAAAGCTTTCAAAGTATTACTATATAATTTAAAGAAGATTATCAGGCCAGTGTAAAAATGGCTTTATTAAAATGAAGAGATAGATTCAATTATATATTTTATAATATAATATTTCTCATTCTGTCTTCTCATTTCACATGTTTGGAAAAAACAAATGCACATAAAGCATAGTCATTATATTAAAACTATGCTTCCCTGTGTTTATTTTGTCTATTTTCTTTTTTTTAAATTGAAGTATACTTGATTTACAATGCTCTGTTAGTTCCAAGGTTGTGAATTTTCTATATTGCACATTACTCAGGAAGTGCTACACCACCTCATCATTTTCCAAACAAAATGCAAAGGAAAAGATAAATTCCTTGGACAATATTTTATATTTCATTGTTTTGTAGAAGGAGAGGGACAAGAATGATAACCTATCATAATTAATGCTACTACTACTATCATCATAATGAAGACAGATAATAATTATAGATATAATAATATCTAATACCTATAAAAGTCTTCTATATGCCAGGCACTGTTCCCAGCACTTGACTTATTATCTCATTTAATAATCAGATGGCTATTTAGTGTAGGAGAGTCCCATAACCAACGCATTTTGCATAACAAGAGTAATATTATTAATAACAATGACAAAGATGATAGAAACCAAAAAATGTTTCCTTACCTTGGCAGTCTGCCAAGTGCTCTGTATGCACCATTTCCCTTGATTCTCACAAAATCCTGTTAGGTGGATATTCTGTGTATTCTCGTTTTGTAGATGAGGTATTAGAGAGGTTAATTAACTTTTACAAAGATATCTAGAGAATACTGGCCATATGGGATTTGAGTCCAGGTACTCTGACTCCAGAGTCCGTGCTTCTAAGCAATAAGATACACTGAACCTACCTCATCGCAAATCAAAAATGCTCTACAAATGTGGGCTGGATGAATGGGTGAAATAATTAATGACTCTGAAATAGTTATGTCCTGGGAGCCACTGGAACTTAAAGGAGAATTCTTTATCTGGTTCTGCATCTAATTTAACATAAATTAGTCTCATACAGCATAATGTAGTTATGGCAGTGAGTGACATCCCATCACTTTTGCCAAATTCTATTGATTGGAAGCAAGTCACAGGTTCTGTCCGCACTTCAGGGGAGTGAATTACACAAGTGGACACCTAGGGTGTGTCCACCACAATACAGCATGATTCCATTTATATGACATTTTCAAAAAG